GTAGAACATGGGAATGTGAGGGGGGGGGGGGGGGGGACTCCTAATCCTGCATGCCGGAATCCTTTGACCATTGACCCCCCATCCCTACAAAACCGGGACGGAACACGCCGGGGTCTCCCCGGAACAGGGTCTCACATCACCAAGCGCGAAACGCCCTGAGGGATTTGGGGAGGCCCATGAAGGGGGAGCTGCATCCTGGTAAAGGGGTTCCGGATCTTGTGCTTACTTCCTTGGGTACGGATGACAGCTACGTATGACTTAATTTATTTTCTGGTGCTTTCACTTCCAGAGACAGTTGTAAGCACTGTGTAACTGCCTCGAGGAAGCTTGACCATTTTAACACAACGTGGTGCGATCATCCCCCGTTGCGCGGAGGGAGGGTTCTCGACCCCCCACAACATGATCTACTCGACCACCATTATGGGTACCGCCAAAAAAAAACCCAGGGAAAAAAAAAAAACGGTAACCTGGTTGCCGAGTTCACGAAATGAATTGGCTTGTTTTAAAACGTCGTTGCCAAGCGACGAAAACCCAATCCCGATGGGAAACACCGAGGGGGGGGCTTGTTTTACAACGTCCTTGCCAAGCGAAGAAAAACCAAAACCCCATGGCAAACACCGGGGGGGGCGGGTTGTTTTACAACGTCCCTGCCAAACGACCAAAAACCCACCCCCAAGGGAAAAACCCGGGGGGGGGGGGGGGGGGGGGGTGTACTCATAGTCGGGCATGCCGTAGTCGTTTGACCATTTACCTCACATCCCTATTAAGCCGGGAGGGAGCACGCCGGGTTCTCACCGGACCAGGCTCTCACATCACCAAGCGCGGGGGGGGGTCAAAGACAACAGATGAAGGACATTCATGCTGCTGCCGTTACGACTTTCCAGCTTTTCGGTTAAGAATAATGGAAGGGGGGGGGGGGAAGACAACAGACGGAGGAAACTAATCCTGGGGCTGGTATGACTCTTCAGCTTTTCTAGTATATATGTACCTCGGAGCAAGAATGAACAGGGGGTGGAGGTACCACCGGTCCCACAAGCCGGTGGCCGTGAGAGCAACAAAAGGCGGAGAGAGTTCGGCAACACACCCAAGCGCAGACCTCGGGGGTGCTATCAAAACCGGTGATCGACACGTACAAGGCAAAGCTCTCAACTCTTTCCCTCGTCGCCATCTCTCCAGACATTCATTGTGCGATTGTCCCAACATCAAAACTCTATGGAGACTGGGTTGTCGATGTCGCGCGGGGTCTCTACCAATTCGGGAGAAAAATCAGTTGCTATGTAGTCGCCGAGACGGAATAAATAAGTGACTACTGCTGTTGCTGTGCAAAAGTAGTCGAAACGCTGTCCTCACGCCTGAAGTTTGGACGGGCACCACCCTTACTGCGGACGACCGGGTTGCCTGTCCTACAGCAGTCAGTCGTGTTCCCATCTACAGCAGCGTTCACGTTAGCGCTCGCGGGCACCACCATACTGCGGAGCTTCTGTCCCCTCCCGGTCGCGCTCCTGTGGCATCTCCATGAGGCGGGCGGCTGCCGGAAGAGATTGAAGATCTAGGCTTTGTTCGTGATAGGCCATTCCCTCCTCCGGTCAGCACCCCCCGGAGGAGGACATGGCCTTATCAGGAAGAACACCTACATCTCCCATCTCCGGCAGCCGCCCCCGTCGTGGAGATGCTACGGAAGCGCGACAGGGAGGGGACAGAACCGCCGCAATGGCCCATGTCCGTTGTGGTGCCCACGAGCGTCCAGTCAAGGTGAACGCTGCTGTAGATAGGAAGGCGAACCGTCATCGCCGTGACAGCAGCATTTCGACTACTTTTGCACAGCAACAATTGGGTACTGGCTACCCTTAGAAGCCTTCTTGACTAGCAACCAAGAAGAGGCGGGGGGGGGGGGAGATCACCTTCTTAAAGTACAATCTCCCAACGCCCGTCGAGGACGATTCCCTCTTTCTCACACACATGCACAAAAAAAACAATAAAAAAAACAAAACAGGCCACGGCGTCGCCCAAACCCCCCAAAACACACCTGGTGTGCCAACCCCTCCAGCACCACATCCGCTGCCTCCTCGTACCTCCCGCCCAAGGCCAACGCCTCCACCACCCCTGAAACCCCGGCGTTCCCCACCTCGACCGACACTTGCACGCCCACGGCGTACCGTCCACCAAACTCTTTCGCCTCTTCTTTCCCCGCGCACCGTCCACCAAACTCTTGCACCCCTTCCTCCTTCGCGGCCCTTAACCACGGCTAATCCGATCGCCCCTGCTGCCGAGACAGCCTCGCGTCCAAGAACCGCCACGGTGCGGACCCCCGCCGGCCGCCCGTAGCCGTCGAGACGGCGCTCTCCCGCGGGGGGGCAGATAGACGCCACCGTCGCGGCGGCCGTGTCATCGGAGGAGGGGTAGGCGTTGCCGGCGACGGAGAGAGCGTTCAGCGCCGCCAGGCGAGCTCGCTGAGCGCCCGCCGCGAACGGCAAGGTGGAGGCGGCGGAATGGGGCTTCCAGCCTGGGCGTGCGTGGGGGGGGGGGGGGGGTTGAAGGGGAAAGTTAGCGAAGGGGAACAAGGCGCGAAAAAACATTAAAGTTACTTGCGGTCGAACGATCGAGCCGGGCTGAACCACAAAAAAGGTAAAAAAAAATGCGAGGGGGGGTATTCGGCAACGAGAGGGAGAGAGGGATGCTTGCGCCGCGGCGAACACAACCGCCAACTGCGAGGTAGACTTCGACTTCGACGACGCCAACACGAACGTAAGACCCTGCCTCTTTCAACGAAAAACATCACACGACCACAACAGCCTCACCACCCAACCAAGCAAACCGCCTTCTACACCAAACACAACGACAATAAACACCACACGCAGGAACCACCGCACCAGAACACAACCGGCAGCCCCAACAACACACCTCTCTCTCAGCTCGTCCTGAGCACGAGCGGCCGCTACCTCCTCCCCCCGGGCCATGTAGAACGCGTACAGGCAGTCGTAGTAGTTGACTCTCGACCTCCCCTTCCCCCCCGGCCCTCCAACGAGATCGTCAACACTCGACCGCCGCGCCAGCGGCCACAGCGCACTGTCTACGACGCCAGAGGGGTGCCAACCGCCTCCGTGGGGGCAGTCGGCGAGGGACAGCGAGCACAGCTCGCCGAGCCGTCCGCTCTCGCACATGTGCTGCACAAGCGCCGCGAGGTTCTCCTGTTGATGATGAAGAAAGGCGCCAAAAAAGGTAGGTCAATGCGCGTGGGGGGGGTATGTAGTCATGGTGTTAACAGGCGAGGCGCCAAAAAAAGGTAGGTCAATTCGCGCGCGAGGGGGTAGTCATGATTTGTATGCCTTAGTTGTTAGACTGGACAATTGACCACGTGCCCTCGAGAGGATGGAGCATTGTCCCCACAGGACCGATCACCGATGGCCAATCGTTCCTTCTTACTTTGCCAAAGGGGTGGCTCAAGAATGTGATCCCTATTATATCTATCCTATCGATATCATTTCCCGCCTTTTCAGCCCACTTCCTATGCCCCAGTACAGGTACCGTCTTCTGCTGGCTATTCCATGCCTCAACATCTCCCTGGATATTCCCTCTACTTTTCCCAGCTCAGTCAGGTACACTTCCCTCCCCTTCTTGTACAACGGACATTCCGCAAATACATGCGTGGGGGGGGAGGGGTTACGTGCATCGAAGAAGTACAGGTCCCCGCTATTTATGCCCACACAAATCGCGAAAACTTGTGTAAATGGGGCGCACCTTCCGCTGCTGGTCGATGGGGTTGTCGCAGACCGCGTCGAACGCCTCCCGGAAACACAACGCTTCAGAGGCGTGCTTGAAAACCAGCTGGCAAAGCCTCGCCTGCCGTTGGTGATGGTGCTGCTGCTGTTGATCCCCCGCCGATCCTCGGAGCTCCCTGTTCCGACGGCCGTGTGTGTGTTTTTAATACAAGCATCGACCGCGCTGACCGGCTGACCAATGAAAATACATCAGTCTCAGTGCGGTTGAAAACAGAACAAGTTTCTTAAGGCCATGATTTGGGACCCCGTCAGGAGGCGTCATGGGGGAAGCTTACGCTACTCTTCGGATGAATAACAGAAACAGTAACAACACAAGAAAACTACGCGACACGTGTCTCCCAAAAAGGCTGCTACTTTGTACGCGCGTTCGTTTCGGAGCGTGCGTGAGCGTGCGGACATGAACGGAACAAAAAAGAGGTACAAAGGTAGAAACGCCAGATACCGGAGAATGAAAAAAAAAAAAAAGACGGAGAAGGTTTTTACGTGGGCTACGAGAGGAGCCCTTACAGCAGCAGCAGGTAACACCCAACCAGTCTTTCACACCTCTCCGTTTCGAGCGCCGCGCGGGCAAGCTCCAGCGCATTCACGGGCCCCCTTCCTCCAAAGTCTTCCCCACCGCCGCCGCCGCCGCCACCACCACCTCTCTCCCCGGCCCCCTGGGCTACCAACGCCGCCGCCGCTGCCCGCACCCCGCCCGTCGTCGTCCTCCTCCTCAACCCTTCCCTCACACGCTCCACCTCTAGCAGGGCACCCTCGAAGTGTTCCACCACCGACTCCGCCTGGTTGTGGCCGCCCCCGCCACCGGGCCGGAGGAGTTGGGCTCTGAGGGCCTGCGACGACTTCAGGTACCACTTGGTGGCCCGGTCAAGAAGAGGGCCCTGTGTGCGGGAGGAGGAGGAGTTCCAGTTCCATGCAGCCGTGTAAGGGAGGCGTTGTAGAGGGGGGGGGGGGGGGGGAAGAAGGGAAGGTGTAGAGGGACAGCAGTGGCGGGAAGGCATGAGAGATCGAGACAAAGAGAGGGAGAGAAAGAGAAAGAGAGAGAGAGCGCGAGAGCGCGAGACAGAGAGAAAGGGAGCGAGAGAGCGAGAGTTGAGAGGTATACATACCAATGAGCGTCGGAGAGTGCGGAAGCGTTGAGGGGTTACGTGTTTCCAGGAAGGCTAAGGGAGATGGGTAACAGGAACCGAGAGGGCCACATGGGGGGTGTACTCATGTACACGCATGCCGTTGGCGTTAGACCATTGACGTCGCATCCCTACGATGCCGGGACGGAGGGATATGCCGGGTGTTCCATGGGGGGGGGGGGTCTGTTGGTGTATGTGTCCGTTAGAACCAGGGACCGCTGCTGCGCGAACAAACACCCGAATATTTGCAAGCACAGACGAGACACGCATTTGGGCCACAAAAAAGCATAAGGCGCCGGGCAGGCAGGCACGAGCGTTTCAACACTGGAAAACAACACGATTACCTACATACCACGAAAAAAGAGCGACAGCAACAGCAACAACGCAGCAGCAGGTGGGGGAGGGCGTGATTGTTGTACGTGGTAGGACACTAATATATATTTTTCAAAGACGAAGCCGACGCTGCACCTCTTACCGATGACGAACTCCCCCCGCCCTCCGAACGAGCAGCCGCTTCCGCAGAGTATAGGAAACCCCGCGCGATAGACGTCAGCACCGCAGTATGCGGCTCTGGGCGGTGGGGGGGGGGGGGGGGGGGGGGCCCTGAGGGGGGGGGGGGGGGGGGGGGGGGGGG